TCTCTCTGTCTGTCTGGCAAGCGCACGTGCCCTATAGCAAAAACCTCTCCATAAAAAAAACCAAAAATCAAAAATACATTTAATAATAGAGGAGAGGCAAGAAGCAGGCCATCAGTAGATCACGCACACGCGCCCAGCATGAGTTTTAAGCCAAGGGGTCCGGGACATGAACCGCAGTCGACCATGTAGGAGTCCAGCGACATAGCCATTATGCTAACTGCTGGTTCCCTAGTATTAAATGTTTTCAATTCAAAATATATTTAGCTGGTTCTCCTAGAGGCTCAAGCTCTAACTGGCAGTATCTAAAATGCATATTTTCCACCTGGTAATAAATAAAAGGCATATTTTCCACCTGGTAATACTGTTAATTTCTGAGTACCTGTTCAGAATAAAAGAAACTCAAGCTCTAACTGGCAGTATCTAAAAGGCATATTTTCCACCTGGTAATACTGATAATTTCTGAGTACCTGTTCAGAATAAAAGAAAGGAGTGAGACTAGGGTTTTGATTTTATGTATCACACTTTCAAGACATTTAAGATTGTATTTTGTTCGATAAGTCTATGGAATGAAGGGCTACTTCCTGAAATAATGTCCAATAAGGGTATCACCCTAAAAGCATCTGTGATTTAATCAAATCACATGTGTGATAGATTCATCTACCATACACAATACACAATTCTATTACCTTTAATTGCTTTTCAGCATCCAAAAATCAGTTTAAATTTGTGTCCTCAACATTCAAAATAGCTGTAAATGTTTGCTTTTTAACTTCTCCATTTCCCAAGGAAAGTTGGTAAATAAAATTAAATTACTATTCTTCCAGCAAGGCATTTCTCATGATACATTACTGTACAGTACAAGCTCAGAAACCATGACAGGATTTTTAAGCAGCACAAATCTACCATCATGTCTATTACCTACTAAATGAAGCATAAAATGAACAGATACTCTTGAGTCTGGGAGCCATATCATTGATGCTAATACAGAAGGCATAATAATGAACTGTACATGTCTGAGCTTTGTGGATATACTAGGCAATAAGAAACCAAGAAAAGACAGGGAAGGAGATGTTGCTGCCAATGATTTATTTACTGAAACTAATGCAAAATCCTGCAGAGGATAAATAGGAATCTCACATATTTCCAAAAGCATGTAAAGGCACAAAATAGTGCTTGATCATTTTAACTCAGAAAAGAACTGATCAAAGAGAAGAACGAGAGCACCCTAAAAAAATTGCCTGTTCTTCAACAACAGATGGATCAACCATGATGTGGAATTTCTCTACCGATGGTTGACTTTTCTGTTACGAAAGAGACAGTGCATAAATACCTGGAGCAAGAAGGAAACATAGCTGAAGAATAAGTGAAGTCATTAGACCATAGGTGCCTAGGAAAAGCAAGGGAGACACAGTGGTAGGACCAATGGCTTTAGGTTTGCATAAATGTCACAGCATAAATGTGACCAGCTTTGTCATCAGCGGCTACAGGTGCCTACAACAAAGAGAATTCAAAGCTAAGAAACTAACCCAAAGAGTCAAGGCAAGTAGAAGTCATGGAATAGCTAACACCAGGTGTCATGTACAAAGACTGGTCATGACATAGGAGGAGGGCCATCAGTGTGGTGTTTGACACTAGCTGTAAAGACTGGTTCTCCTCACAGTAGTCCAGTATTAAGACATTACAGTTTGGAACATGGCTGAGCTTCTAGGTGAACATAAGTGAATAAAGTCATTTGTAAAAAAAAAAATTGTTACATTCCACAATGAGCTAAGACTTTGGGAACACAATCTCTGAAGGGGACTCTTGTCTTGGAAACTAAATATTTTTCCTTTCAGCTCCAATACACGAAGAGCTTAGAAGTTATCTGTCCATACTTACAACAAGAAAAACAGCAGAAAGAACTAAAAATGAGTCTTTATTTGGATCCATCAAGGAATGGAAGTCTTTTTTTCCAAGGTTGTAACAACTACAACCCAGCAATCTGAAGAGACAAGAGTAAATAGACTCAGGTGAGACCAGCTTACTGGAGCAGAAGCTTCTAGAACCTTAAGCAAGTAGAAACAATGACCATTGATGACTCACTGGAGGCTAAGTCTGGACTTGGTAAGTGGAGAAACTCCCGGATCTGTAGTCTTAGGGTGGTCCCCACATATACAGTTTTTATCTTAAATAACTGTGTTCCTTACCCAGATTCTCACTGTGAAGAGTTAAGAATCTTCCTTTCATGGCTCTAGCAGAGAGAGAAATTTACATGTATACTGGAAAACAAAATCCCCAAATCGAAATCTTAGCAAACTACAGAAATTAGAGCAATTGAAGACTGAAGCAAATAGAAGAAAGAAAATAATGAAAATTAAGTCAGAAGTCGGAGCCAGGCAGTGGCATTGTGCTATGCAACTGGACCAACATGGGAAAGGTCTTGGGCTTTGATCTTGGGACATCCCTCAGGAGTTCAGGTATACACATATCTGTGGTCTGGATGAACTGAGACTAGGGATGGATCATGGCATGAGATCCCATTGGCTTTCTCTCTCTCTCTCTCTCACAGATGAAATACATGGATAAACCTGAAAGAAAAGAACTTGGTGTAATTGAAAGCAGCAAAGCAACAGAGAAAAATCATGTAAACCAAATGCTGGTTCTTGGCAAGAGCAATGAAATTGATAATGCCATAGGCAAGCTTACCGAGAAAAAGGAGACAAAGATACATGTTAATAATAACAGAAATGAAAGAGAGACCATCACTACAGATTCAGGACTCTAAAAGAAGAAGAAAAATGCAAATATAATGTTTATAATTACGGGCAACTCATGAAATATTAATATATAGCTTAGTCTCAGGGTGAGTATACACACATAAATTTTCTTACCATATCATTTGAAAGGGTGTACTGGCAATAGCACCTGATAGATTGATTTTTTCAATACTGTTCGTTATCTCCAGAGGGACCTGGCTCTTTCATGAAAATATTGATCCGAGGACTTGGGCAAGTCGTATACAAGATGATTCTGGAGCATTGTGGTAGAAAGTTAGGAATGTCAACACACACAGAAATGGAAATATGTTAAAACAGGTGTGAGAGCCAGTTGAAAAATCTCCCAATGATCAAATCCAGAATAATTTCATTGGATTAAAGAAAGTAGTATTAGTTTATAACCCAAAGTACAAAATTAATATTCATAAACTCACACTGTAGTAACTAATAATTGAATCAATAAATGAATGATGGAGAAAAATATCACATTCAGAAAATTTTCAAATAATTTAAATAGATATTTATCTCTCTAGCAGGTGAAGCACAAGTTCATCACTCTGTAAGGGTGAGATGCACATTGTACATTCCTTCCATAGAGAATGATATGAAAGCGAAAACTGAAATACCTTTACTGAGAAAAACCTCAGCCAGGTGACCAAGATCATGACTTGCAGAGATAAGTGATATTATAATATAACCTTTGATAAGATATTATGAGTCTAGCACTTAACCTTTGTGGTCTTCCTCTCCAATGAATAAAAATAAAACATTCCCAATTAGGAGACATTCTACCAAGTATTCAGCCAGTACTAAAGATTTCAAAAGATATGAAACACGAAAAGTCTGAGAAACCATCACATCCATAAAGAATCTTTGTGTTTGGGAGCCAGCAGTTAGCGTAATGGCTATGTCGCTGGACTCCCACATAGTCGACCGCGGTTCACGTCCCGGACTCAGTGGCTTAAAACTCACGCCGGGCGCATGTGCATGCGTGCCCAAGATCCTGAGAGGAGAATGGAAGAGAAGGAATTGTGGCGTGACCATCCCCCCTGGGGGGTGATTTCTCACTTTCTGTCTCTATGTCTCTCTCTGTCTGTCTGGTGAGTGCATGTACCCTATAGCAAAAATCTCTCCCCCCCCCAAAAAAAAAGAATCTTTGTGTTACAACAAAATGTAATGCACTGTCTTCAAAAAGATGCTAGAACAGAAAAGGACATTCAGTAAAACCAATAGAATCTGAGATGAAAAGTAATCTGCTGATGGTAACGTATCTGGTAATGTCTTTGACTTGATGATTTGCACTTCATTTATGCTGTGAAAAACCATGATGTACATTGTAAAGATGCACGGTGATTAAATCAAACTTTTAAAATAAATAAATGTATATTTAAAAATGCAATCTGACTTGACTATATTCTTAGTTAATAATAATGGGGCCAGAGAGTGGTATGGTGGTTCAGGCAGTTGGATTCCAAATGGCTGACTGCAGAGTTCAAGTCTAGATCTGACACTGTGAGAAATACTCAGGGCATGTACATGTATGCATACCCAAAATCATGAGACGAAGATGGAGTCGGGATTGTAACCCAACCATTCCCCGACAGTGATTTCTCACTTCCCATGTCTCTTTCATTCTCAGTCCTTCTCTGGCCAGTGCATGTGTCCTATAGCAAATAAAAAACGTATTAGTGAGACCAGCAGATGGCCTAATGGTTATGCTGTTGAACTCCCACATAGTTGAGCACGGTTTGAAATCTGGACCAAGTGGCTTAAACCTCACCCCAGGCATGTGTGCATACAACCAAGATCCAGAGAGGAGAATGGAGAAGGGATTGTGACGTGGCCACAACCCCACACTGGGGGAGTGATTTCTCGTTTTCTGTCTGTATCTCAGGCAAGCGCACATGCCCTATTGCAAAAATCTCTCTAAGGAAAATAAAAACTAATTGTACAAAATCTGTCATATAAATGTAAGGTTTAATCACAGAGGAACATAGGTGTGTATCTTATAGGAATTCAATGCACTATCTACACAATTTTTCTGTCAATTTAAAACTCTTCAAAAATGAAATTTTATTAAACATAAATGAGACTTAGAAATCCTCCAAAAGTATATGCATATAGCACAACAGAAAATGAAAATCAATTTATCATTCTCTATTAGTTATTTCCCTCAAACCCCAGGTCAGACTTTCCTGATCAATTAGGATTGAATACAAGATGTATGTTCTGTGAATTTTTTTTAATCATGAGAATGGCTAACAATAAAAAAAATTAATAATTACCTTTGTCTAAACTCTTGGTTTTAAAAAGTATTAAAGTGTTGAGGCCAGCATAATGGCTATGTTGATGGACTCCCACGTAGTCGACCGCGATTCGCGTCCTGGACCCGGTGGCTTAAACTCACGCCTGGCGCGTGTGCATGCATGCCCAAGATCCCAAGAGGAGAATGGAGGAGAAGGGATTGTGGTGTGGCCATCCCCCCTGGGGGTGATTTCTCACTTTCTGTCTCTCTGTCTCTCTCTGTCTGTCTGGTAAGCGCACATGCCCTATAGCAAAAAACTCTCCAAAAAAAAAAATTAAAGTGTTATTGTTTTAAAATAAATTATGCAATTAAAAGTGGGTTATTTTTAAATAATCTTTCCAGGTAATTTAAGATCTTAAGTTTATATTATGCTCAGTTACTTGATAGTTATAAAATGCCTGAGTCATCTTTAAGTAAAGCACCGATTATCTTAAAATTTAAGTTCATGTACTTTTCGCTTTCTAAATTTTATCGAAGAAATTTAGGCAATATTAATAAAGTATTCCAGGTCAACATTTAAAAATATTGTCTTGTGAGAAAACACATGCTTTAAAAATAAAACAATAAAACTTTATGAACTGTTGGTTTATTTTGCTTTTGCTTTCTGGGAATTAAAGTGACTAAGAGTTAAAAATTTTGATTAGTATATGTATTTCTATATGCAAGATATATAAAGATAGTATATGGATTTCTATATGCAAGATATATAAAAAGGTCTGTTTTTTATCTCAAAATTCATATAAAATAAGAATATGTTTATGTATTGAAAGAAATAATTTTATCTGATTATGAGGTTGTTTAAAGTTGTTTCCAAAAGTAAATTTATAAAGGAAAGAGAAACAAGATAGAAAAAAAAACAGTAAATATGAAAGAGAAAGTTAAAAAAAAAGTCTAGTTATGATGGTGTATTTTTGGTAAGGAAGGTTAAAAGATCAGAGAACATTTTCATATTATTTTTATTTTTGCATTCTTTCCTATAATTCTACATGGTAAACTGTGCTAAAGTAAATTGGCTGAATTATTTCAGAAGGAAAAGAAGGGTAAAGGGGCAAAACTTAACACCTATAGCTGTTATAGATAATTTGTGTAAACCAGAAAAACTCTGAGAAGAGGTACAAGTACTAATCAAGTAATTTATAAAGGGAATTGTATATATCATCAAGTCGGTAAATTTAAAAAAAATTATATTTTTTCTCAAAATTTAAATACCAAAAAATATTGCCCCTGTATTAAAACAGTAACTTTTTCTTAAAATATTGTGCTGCAGAAATTACACGAAGGGGTTTTTGTTTATTTGGTTTTTAAACGTCATTGTAACTGGCCTAAGACATAATATTTGTTTGTTTCATGTTCATATTTATTGATTTTTTTTTATTACTGAGAAAAACTGAACTTTGAGGAAATTAAAGTTATTTTTGTTTATAGCATTTTCTGTATTTGACATTAAAATCTTGACTATGACTTTGGTTAAATAAATGGCTATTAATTCTTTAAGATCTGTGCTTCTGCTTTGATCAAATGTTTTCTGACATCTTTGACAAGCTTTGCCCAAAATCAAAATTCTAAATTAAGATTTCTTTTAATCTAAATTTTAACTTGGGATTTCCTAGTTAAATCTCTGAAGGGTCTTAGAGGATGTATCTCTGATTTTGTAGAGCAATAACTTGATTTGGCTTATCTGATACATTAATTTGTACCAGAAATATTGTTAAATAAGACAGTGATACTAAATTTTCTTTAAAGTTATCTTTATAAAAATATAATATTGGTATAAATGTTATTAAGATAAAATGAAATTTATAAAGATTAAAATGTTTATTGTGACACTGTGAGTCTTTTTTTAAAATTCAATTTGTCAGAGGGTTCATGGGCTGTGCTTGTCAGAGAGACAGAGATAGAGAAAAAGGAAGCAGAAAAATGTATCTCCCAATGGGAAATAGTCATGCCACAATCCCTTCTTCTACTGTATGTTTTTGGAATTTAGGGCTTGCTTACACACACTCCTGACATGTTTCTCAAGCCACCAGAACTGGAGTTCAGACAATGATCAGCCTTGTGGAATCCAGGTTCCTTCACGACTAGGCCATAGAGCTAACCCAACTATCAGTCTTCATTACAGTTATTTTAAAATTCTACATGCAATAGAAATAACTAAATTTCTTTGCTAATTACATCATTATTGCAATAAACTGTCATCAGATTATTAACTAGAGCTCTTCTAAGGTCTTGTCATTTACATTTCCAAAATCACTTCTCATGGAAAAGATTCTAACTCTTAGTCTTGCATTTAGGTTCCTGACAACTTTAAGATCAATGACCTTCAGGGAAACTTGGCCTGAGAACCACTCCCCTAAAACCCTCCTTGTGGCCATAAGGGATTTTGATATTCATCCCTAGCTATTGATCACTTCCTTCCATCCATCATGAGACCAGAACAACGGCCAAGACAAGTCCATCCAGCATGCAGCGAAACTTGGAACTTGACCATCAGATGACAGATCATCAGTGCACTCAGAGGAAGATCTTGACCAAAAGGGGCAGATGTGTCATTCAGAATCAGAATGGAGTCACTCACATCAACACTGATACACATAGCCAGGTAGGACAGAGTACAAATGTTTGCCCTGCCTAATAAGAATTGTTACTTAGAGAACTCTGTCAGAACCTTAACCTGCACAGAAACCACTGTCCCCTGACAGCAAGGCTAATTCAGCAAGGGCATCTGCCCAGGGATTGCCAGTCTGACCCTGGACTGATACCGCTCTGGCTATTAATCCTGGTAGCCAAGGATAATTGTCTCACCACAACTGTTTCAATCTTCTACTCCCCGCCTCCCCTCCTGCATGCTGTTTCTGCCCTCAAAACCTTTCTGAGAATCCTAAGACCCTAGCCAGCATGTTTCGGGCTACCTGAATCATGCTGGTCCAGGCTGCATGCTGGCTGCAGCCACATGCATTTTAGCTCAGAATAAACCTCTTTCAATATTTCACAGAGTTTGATGATTTCCGTCAATGTTTCTATTTCTAATAGTATCATTCTTACCATCTGGAGCCCACCAAACCCCAAGGCAAAATCCTGAGAAAATAGAGTAAAACAGACTGACAGCTTGCCGTGTAGCACAGGGCCCCTTACAGCTCACTGCCTAGTGGCTCAAAGTGCAGGCCGTTGGGAGCCATGTCGGTGCCCCACATGTTCTCCACTGAAGAGAACCACAAAGGGCATCAGGGGCTGTTGGCAGAAAGCACTAGACAACAGTGAGTGCGAGAGCCATCCCTCACACATGGGAACTTCACTCTGCCTTCTCTGATTTTACCCATAAGTGCTCAGACCGTGATTCCATTGAACTCACGGTTCTTCCTCTCTAGACAGTTAGCAGGGAGGTGGCTATAGCACTATGCTCAATTTTTTCCCATTACAAATGTTAAGATATATCAAGGAAATATATATAAATATAAAAAGCTAACTGTAATACTATCTTCCCTACTACATGCAAATCATTTTCTTTCATAATTTTTCACCATAGGCATAGTCTTTATTCATATCCTAGTAATGATGACATAACCACAACTAGTTATTTTCTCCAGTGACATCCTATTAAAATATTTTTGTCTTTGTATATTGTCTTGAGAGTTATATTTTTGAAGGAGCATTTATTAGCCTGAGAAACTCGAATTGTGACTTCTGTAGGTTAAAAAGGGCAAACTTAATAATGGCCCAACCTGCGTTATTTATGTGATACTATATATTTCATAAGAGACGTAAGTGTTTATGTTATGAATAGTGCAAAAAGAGACAAAATAAGATTGAGGGAATGGCCCTCACACTTAATAATCGCAAAAGTTTATTAATTCTGCTTGTGGTAGACAAGCTCTTCACGGCTTCATCTCTGCCTCATATTACCCAGTTATAAAGCTTCCCCACAGCAGCTGTTCCAGGGAACCACTTCTGGTCCTATGATAGAGACAGAATGAGAATATATTAGATTTTCAATGCTGGGAAGGGATCTGGCTAACTTCTCTTTGTGTGATCTCAACATACCCTCTGCTTTCAGTTACTCCTCATAAAACGGATAATAAGTATCTCCAATTTCTGAGTCTTCCTGGTGTCTGAAATCTCAAATTACATTATATTTTATCCACATCTTCCTTGGTTTTTTGATGGATTCTATCTCTCTTGGCTGTACTTAGTTATGGCTCATTTAGCTGCTTGCTCTCTTTTACATTTTCATTTTCATTTCTTCTCTCGTTCTTCTAGTCTTTGTGTGTGCTATTTTTTAAATCACATTCAATGTCCTTGGAGTGTCATTTGGAGAAAGAGTGGTGATGAAATTCTGTGGCCAGGCATATTTAACCTAAGGTATGCTATTAAGTTGTCCATTCGGATGGCTTTGTAAAATGAAATAATTCAAAAACAAAACTATTTCAATAGAACCTACCACACAGCTTAAAAATTTCAGGGTTATAAGACATTATCTAAATTTTTAATTTGTTCATTTGTTTATTACAGGAGAAGCAGAGAGAGAGGTATTCCCAACAAGGCCTTCATTCCAAAACCCACTCAGCCTCAGTAGGCCAGGACAATGCACATGTACACGCACCTGGCTGTACAGGGAGACCTCGGACGCAAACCCAGGTCCTGACCATTTGTCTTCAGCATCGTAGAATGTGGCATTACCACTACACCACGGGAGGGGCTCTAGAAAACAAGCTTTGAAGCTCTTCTCTTCTCTCATACTGACCTCCTATTAAAGACTCAAAGGTAAGCACCATCCTAACTCTGATATGCAGTATTCTCATGCATGTGTTTATCCTGTTACTACAGCTGTGTGTGTCCTGCAAAAAGAATTCTTTCTTATATTAAGACTATATAAATAAATACTTGAACACACACACACACACATATATATACACACAAATATGTTGAAGATGTCAATATCACATCGTATTAGGGTATCCACAGATTATGATGCCTTCAATATATATACACAATTTCACTACCTCCAGCTTCATCTGCACCATCACAGATCAAATCATCATCCCCTCTCTCTTCTACAATATTCTCAGGTCCATAAACATCTTTCTTAAAATCCTCTGGGTAGATATTTGCATACTAATTAAAATATTTTAATATTATAAAGCTAGTTTAGTAAAATATCAATTATCCTCTTCACAGTGGTACTCTGTAAATGGGCACAGAATCACTTATGTGCTGACATGTAAATTTGTACTACATGGTGGTAAGGTTTGAAGCTAAACGAATTGAGATAGGCCCTGCTTCAAAATCAACCCAAACCAAAGCAACACTTTAGACTTTCAGAACCTTTTAGATTCCCTGATCTCAGAAGAGAGCTTCTGGACCCGTCTCAGACCCCTGGCTAATTTTCTTGAGGATACTGGCTTTCCCTCAGTCAGCAGACTGAATCTTCCGAAACACAAATTGAGTCAAATCTTCCCCTGATCCAAACAGTTCATTCTTCAATCTTGGTTTGAAAAAAGTCTTAGGGCAACATCTGCTGACATCGCCACTGCAAAGTCCTGTGCAGGCTGAGCTCTTTCTCTCCAGAGGCAAGACCATCACCCCCTTTTTTATAATTATTTATTTAATTTATTGATTTATTTTTTAAGTTTGCTATAGGGCACTTGTGCTCACAGAGAAAGAAGGAGAGACAGAGAGAGTAAGTGAGAAAGCAAGTCACCATGTCCAGGACTCAAACCAGTCAGCTATATGAGAGTCCAGCACCTTAACCACCATACCACCTGCTGGCCCTACTGTCACCCTCTTCTCTGGCCACATACTTGTCCTCATCCTTGGGCTACCATGGCATGCATTTCTTCCAGATATATTTTCATCACTCCTATTTTCTTTTCTTTCCTTCCTTCTTTCTTTCCTCCTTTCTTTCTCTTTCTATCTTTATTCCATGAGAGAGAGAGAGAGAGACAAGCAGAGAAGAAGAGAAAGACAACACCCTAAGCAGTGTCTCACACATAAGCCCTTCTCCTTTAGCCTATCAGCCAGGATCACAGGTATGCATATGTATCTGGTGTGAACAGTCAACCTGGAACTGAACCCCAAGCATCCATAGGGCTTCCAGCATGGCAAAGTATTGTACTAGCACTGCACCACCACAGCTGGCTCTTCAATTCTTGTGCGATGTCTTAGACTCTGCCTAAATATCTCCTCTCAGGTGAAACTTTCCACCTTCCCTGCTAGGATAGGTGACTGTTGTTTCTTTGTTTTGTTTTCATTTGGTTTAGTTGCCAGAAGGTATGCGTGCTTACCAGAGAAAGACAGATATACAGATAGACAGATAGACAGAGAGAGAGAGACAGAGAGAAATTCATCCTATGGGGTGTGGTCACACCACAACCACTTCTCCATTTCTCCATCCTGCTGGAATTTGGAGCACACAGGCACATGTGCCTGGTGTATTTGTCAAGTCACTGGGTCTGGTATTCAAACTACAGTTGGCCATGTGGATCTGGTTCCCTTTAACCTCTAGGCCGTAGGACCAGCCCCACGCCTACTTTATATTTACCATTGAATACAAAGTCTGGAACATAAGAGGTGCTTGCCACATGTAAACGGAGAGAATTCACTTGCAACATACTCACTCAATACCGGATTTTGATAATTATCCATATTGACATGTACACATTCTGTTTATTAGTTTTCCCTAATATTTTACGGTATATAACCATGGCATATTTATTAGTCTTCCTGTTGATAGACCTTTACATTTTTTTTTGTTTTGCAGTATTTTATAAAAATCATTCTTGTACTATGTGTGTATGTGCTTATACATATATATGTATATAAGGACAGACATCCATATACATATTATGAGAACTGCTACACCATCCCTTATGTGCATTTTGAATTAATAGCTATTCTTTCAGCAACTTAGAACAACTTCCTTTCATCCAAAGTAGCTGTGCCATTTAACCACCAATTAGCCTTGGCAGAATGACCAACAGTGCTCTAGTCTGCCATTGTTTCAAAGTGTGAGTACCAATGACTGATATGCTCAGACTTTTTAACCTAAATCTTAAGGCTACAAGATTCCTTTGTTATAATTTGCTATGCATCTTAACTACAATAAGGGTAAACTCAAGCATGTTTTAAGCACATTTTTTGGCTTTTCAGGTTAATCTCTACAAAAATCCTGTCTGCGTATTTGGCCTATAGCTGCTCTGATGCTTTCCCGACTTACTGAATTAGAGCTTCGTGTAGAATTTGTGTATGAACCTGACTTTTAGTGATATTAATTGCAAATATTTTATCTTATTTCTTTATCTTTTTAGTTTTATATTCGGTCTTTTGGGGGGCACAAAATTTTTAATTTTATGTAATCAAATATTTATTTTCCATTATACTTAATGTTTTTCATTACCCAAAGGTTATAGTCATCTAGAATATTTTATGTGATGGGAAAAAAATTCAATCCTATTTTGCATTTAAATAATACATATGTTAGCACTACAGATTTATTGAACATTTACTTATTTCATATAATAGATAAACCTGTGTGTGTGTCTGTTATTATATGTGTGTGTATTAGTTTCTGACTCAGTTCTGTTCTTTCTGTAGTTTCTAACTGCTGTGCCAGTATTGGACAACCTTAATTATCAAAGCTCTATCATATCTTGTTTTCATATAAGCTGTCACTATATACCTCCCTCCCTTGACAGATGTATTTCCCATATTCTGGAATAGTCTTTGCTTTACTGGGGTTTTTGTTCTACAATAAAGAACAAATATTTTTTTTTTCCTTTTTGTCATGACTTTCCTTTTTTCCTCCAATATAAGCCATAATCCCAGCCATCAATCTGTCAGAGTTATCAAGAAATGACTTTGTTTTTCTCTAACAGGAAATTAGTGCACTGCAGGGAAGACCGACTCTTCAGAATTAGTTGAGTAAGGCACGAGGCTTGCCATTTACATACATCTTCTCATGAAACAGCTCCCATTACTTCTATTCACAGTCTATTGGCCGAAGGCTTCGCATAGCCCAACCTGACATCAAGGGGTAGAGACGTGGCCTCCAACAAGATGGGGACGTGGATCATGCACCCCGTAAGACCACCAGTCTGTGGTGTGCATGTTTCCCCCACTTCTTCCCAATGAACACATGACCTCAGCAGCATTAGACCTCGCACTGGCATGGCTGGATTCCTAGTCACTGGGGGCTAGGGCTCCAGAATATGAATTTGGGGTCACATTTAATGCATTTACTTCTCTATTTCCTTTTCTGTTTGCGATACTCATTCCCTATAAGGGGCATCAGGTAAATAATATGCAAGTTAAAATATAGGATTAACATTATATGTGAGCTGCTTGTAAATAATTATATGATCATCCTAAGAGTGTCTTATGTATTGCATGGAACATATTTACACTAAAAACAATTGCTATCTTAAAATAGAACTTTACATACTGTATTTAATATGGCAAACATACATCAGAGGAAAAGAAACCATAACTTTTATTTTAAATAGGAAGAACAGAAATAAAACCTGAAAATAATAACATTTAGAATTTATTATAATAGAGGCCATTTTAATTACTAAAATGCTATGGTCTGTAATTTCAGTTATCTTCAGACTTTCTATTACTTAAGAGTGATCAGGAAATTCACTTAGGCTACTAGAGTTTTTAGCCAGTAGCTGTGCAATAATTGTCTCTTGTAACAAGTTTAAAGAGAGCTTTGGAAACAAAGATCACATTGGTTTAAGATTATCATTGACTCTCATTAGTTCTATGAAACATTCACTCCATTTTAATGAGACTTGGAGACACACAATATCTAAGTATTTATTTTAAGACTATTTGGTACACTGTGACTATAGTTATAATAGTGCAACACATGGAAAACTCTGGAACGATGATAAGCCATACCATGAAGTAGGATGTGTATAGATTGCCACGTGAATTATCCAAGAAACATGTCCCCGATAATCTTCGATGTTAAAGCAATACCTTTAGTAATATATGGCACATGTTCCAATTTTGCAAACTGATATAGAATAAAAGAAACAAAATGATGGCACGGTAACTCCTATCTGTGAACACAAGAATGTGATTAGAAGAGGAAGTGATAATTTACATTTAATTGTATTCTAAGCTACAATATTTTGTAATAGAAACATTCATTATTACAATTCAGCATGTTCCTTTGGGCAGAGTGCGCTAGGCATACCTCTTGGAGGTGACATGATTACTCATGAAAGAGAAAACACTTTGAACTGTTAACTGAGCAGAGAAGAAATTAAACAAGGGTTGGAGAATTGCCAAAGTCAGATATTTTCATTCTAATTTGTATTCGAATCAGAGATGAGTTAAATAAAACAACTACTAAGAAGTAAATACTAAATATTAAGTTCTACATCTCTTTACACTGAAAAACGTACATATGATACACCTCCATACATATATAATGTATGCATATATAATATGTATGTGTATATATATATATATATATATATGCATCCAAAAATGTACATATATATGTTTTTATATATTTTTATAGGATTCCAATATCTGATAAAAGCAGTTTAAACTCTATATTTTTGTTGTTGGCAGTTCAAACATCATAAATTACCAGGCTATGTGACTGCAGCAATTTAAAAATTGCAAAATTTCTTACAAAATCATTATTTAGTTTGGAGGCACACAGAGTCAGAGATCTAGATTTCATTTCAAATAGAGATTTTTACTTAAGCAAATTATAAATTTATTGCAGATAAAATTAACTGAGTGAT